CTCTTTTTTCAGGTACGTTCAGCTCTTTTTTCAGGTACGTTCAGCTCATTTTAGCAGATTTTTTTCAGCTGTTTTTTGCTAGTTTCAGATTCTTTCTGCTAATTTCAGCTTGTTATGCTCCTTTCAGTTTTTAGCTGCAAGTTTTACCTTTTTCTAACAATACAGCAAATATTTAGCTGTTTTATGCTAATTTTAGCTTTTAAGCTAATTCCAAATTCATTGCAGTCATTTAAACTTTTATCAGCCTAATTGAGCAAAAATGTGCTTTCTCCATTCCCTTCAGGCAATTTAAGCTTCTTTCTGCTTTTTAGCTACTTTTCAGCCGTTTTTTTGTAGCTAATTTAAGTTGTTTTAGATAAATGTCCACTTTTTGTGCTCATTTCTGCTACTTTCAGCCTAATTGGGCAAACATGTTCTTTCTGCTTTCTTCTGCTAATTTAAGCTTATTCTACCTTTTCAGCTAGCTTTGTAGGATTCTGTAGCTACTTTCAGCTGTTTTCAGATAAATTCAAGTTTTTCGTGGTAGTATCTGCAACTTTCAGCCCAATTAAATTATTTTTTCTTATTTCAGCATGTTATGTTCCTTTCACTTTTTCTGCTATTTCAGCTACTATTTAGCTGTTTATGCTCATTTGAGCATTTTAAGCTAATTCCACTTTTTTTTTTAGCTCAATTCAGCTCCTTCCACTTCCTTCTGGTAGTTTAAGCTTCTTTCAGCCTTTTCAGCTACTACTCTGGTATTTTTTTTAATTTCAGCTTTTTTAGCTAAACTCCTAATTGTTGTGCTCATTTCTGCTTAATTAAACCCAATTCAGCAAATACGTGTTCTTTCTGCTTACGTCTGTTAATTTAAGCTTGTTCTTCCATTTCAGCTAAATTTCAGCATGGTTCTAGCTCATTTCAGCTGTTTTTCAGCAAGTTCTTCAGCAATAAGCATTCACACTGCATTTTCGCAGGAAATACAAGTTCTCTAGTTTTCCTTACCTTCCACTCATAGTCCAGCTGTTTCATGGCTCGGCACACTTCTGTCATGATATCGTTGGGTCTGCTCTGACTGCGGATCCCCAGGTGCCACTTGGCTCTTCTAACACCCTGGTGTTTGGACTTCTGGGGGTTCAGTTCATCTAGCGTGTGGCGAGGTCTGGGAGGGGTTTCCGCCAAGAGAAAGGGCACACGCTCAGGGTGCGGCTTGATGATGCCGGCAACAGCTGCAGCAGATGAAGTCAGGTGCTGGTCGTCTAGAAAGGAGTCTGGAGGGCTTGACGCCAGGTAGAAGTCTTTTGCTTCGCTCATGATGCGGCGATTGTCGATAATGAGATGGTAGGCGACAGCTAATGGGTCCTGGTGGTTGCGACTGTATAGGCAGGCGAGGACCTCCTCCTCTGTGCATTCAAATTTCTCACAAACCTCCTTCAAGGCCTCATCATCGATCATGTTGTTGCTGTAGGAGGGGTCCTCGGGAAACAAATACTTGGGTAGATCTTGTTTGAACCACTCATCCTCTCTGTGGGGAGGATACGATAGGCACAAATATCAGACCATGAAAACTTTTTTGACACAACAAGCTATAAACCATCACATCAGGCCTACCGGATCTCTTTAATGGTGGATCTCTTCATTGGATCCACTTGCAGCATGTGTTTAAGGAGGCTTACTACTTGTGGGTTCAGATACTGTGGCGTGAAAAAGATGCCGTCACAGATCTTTTTAAAAAGCGTTGGCACGTGATCATCATCAAAGGGGAGCGTCCCACACAACAAAGCGTAGAGAATGACGCCACTACTCCATATATCCACCTCTGGACCAGCATATAATCTGAGGATGGGCAAAAAGAAACGACCATACATATTATCATCCTAACGTGAGGTCTGTTTAATCTCTGCCAGTTTTAAGTTGACAAAATGATGAACAAATAAATACCTTCCTGAAATGACCTCAGGAGCAGCATAGTTTGGAGAACCACAACTTGTTCTCAGAAACTCTCCATCCGACATCATGTTTGACAGACCTGCAAAGCAACATGGCTGTTTTAACCGTTAGACTGCTGACAGAAGAGAATTACGATGTGCCAACTCACTAATTGGAGTTTTGAAACGCACACTAAAGGAAAATAAGGATTCTGTTCATGAAAATGTTATGCTTTCTGCAACCAGAAATCCTTCAAGCTATCTTTGTGTGCAGTAACAAACGTAACACAAAACGCTCGTCCCCAAAGTTAAACACTGAAAACTTACCAAAATCTGCGATCTTGGCGTTCATGTGTGCATCGAGCAGCACGTTCTCAGGCTTGAGGTCTCGGTGTACCACCATGTGTCTGTGGCAGTAGTCCACTGCTGAAATAATCTGCTGGAACAGCCGACGACTCTCCTTTTCTTCCAGCTGGTAAAAGCAAAAATCACATTATGGGTCATCTTCAACGAGATATAAAGAAACATGCTGGCTCTTTTGAAGCAGGGTTCTTAGGAAAGGTTGTGAAGAAATAATTAGGAAAGTGATTTAAAATAGTTTAAATCTGGGACAAATCTGAAGATTTAATGCAACCATCATAAACTACTTTACTTTATTGGCACTGGATAAACTGTTTCCTCACGGTGTGGGTCAGGCGCTTTTATTTGTCACATCTACTACTACCCACCCCCTTTCTGACAAAAATAAATAAAAAGAAAATGAAGCAATTTGGAGCAACAGAGCCAGCAGCACGTCTGTACCTGAAACCTGATTTATTGGACAGTTTTTCAGCTGCAGGACTTAAGTGGAGTAAACTTTAATTCCATGTATCCTGATGCATGCTCAATGCATGCTTAATTCCCTTTTTAAACTTTAAAATAGCCAAAAAATCCCTTAAGTTAGGACATCAATAAAACTAAACTTTAATTTATGTTTTTACAGCTTTTTCTTTTGCTGTTTGCTTCTGGTTTACACAGGTCAAAGATAATGTAATAATCACACACAGGTTCTCGTTCAAAACAACTAAATTCCGTATTTTTCAGCCTAGTCACAGTTTTTTTGCATAATTTACATGCCCTGTTATTTATACGCCAAAGCGACGTATTTATGGATTTTTCACCATATTTACAAACCAATTTTTGGCTGATATATGACCGTTTTCATTAATTCTGACTGAAAATACTGAACACTACCATTTTCAGCTGCTAGATGGCACTTGAGTGGTACGGCATGCCATTGTGTCATGAAATAAGTAAAAGTGGCTATTAATGACACAATCGGCTTGCCATATCCTGCCACTTTAGTCCAGTTCACCTGGAGCAAACGTCAAATCAGCTTCATTTCGCTGCGCAGTCCCAGTTAAATGCAGCTAATTTGACCATTAAAGTGCATTTATTAAGTACCAGTTCAACTGAGACACACCTTTACTATAATGACGAGCAAACAAATACTCTTTTTAGGTGGTTATCTTGTTAAATTTTGAAGAAATGCACAGCAAGTCCTCCCGTGCACGCTCCGCAGCCGCATATCGGCTTTTGAAATGCAGCCGATATGTCCGTCAAAGTGCATTTATTAAGGACAATTTTAGACTGAGACACACCTTTACTATCATTTTAGCAAACAAATAATTGTTTTTAAGTGTTAATCTTGTTAAATTCTTGTTAAAGTCCTCCTGTGCACGCGGCCGCTATTTGGCAGCCAATCAATTTTTGGCACAACACCGGCCCACATTTCCAGGCTGTCAGCGGTGATGTGTAATAGATGTGACTTATACAGTGAAGCAACGTATTTATAGATTTTCCCACTTTATTAGACATATTTGGACTGATGCGACTTATAAGGAGTTGCGATGTGTACGGAATAAAATATAGTGCCCAACAATATATACAAAACATTGCCATAGTGCATGTGTGATATTAATTGATGTGTATTACCTTTCCGTTTTTGCAGATGTAATCGAAGAGCTCCCCACCAGACACATACTCCATGACCATGAAGATATCTGTGGGGGTGCTAATAACTTGATATCTGCATCAACAAAAACAGAGATAAAAATCTCAACAGCTCAGGAAATCAACTCATCGAAAACAGCTCATATGGAGAACGCTTATTCAATCACACATTCAAAAAGAAGGAATGACTCATCAACATTAGCACATATTCAGTGTGATCAACAGGAAAAGGGAACAGCCACTTCATGTGGGTGTTTGTTTTATCTTAGGCATGTCTTTACTTTTTCACCTAATGAAGTATGATGGAATGTACTTGTTCAGAAATGACTAAATGCACTCGACACAAGTTAATCCACAACGTAATCCTGTGCAAAACCCATCCAATAAGGTCTAAACCAGCAACTAAAAGTACATTTCTCTCTTTTTCTACTTTTATCAGTCAATGACAGATAAAAAGGAGCACAAACACATGCAAATGAGCTGGTTGCTTTATGCAAATTGTTGTGTTTGCAGCTTCTAATCCATATGAAGGCTGTGCACCACAGGAAAAAAAAAACATCTTGCCAATTTGTTTCTCAGAATCTTTACCTTTAGAATGTATCTTTGTGTAAAATGTGGGAGAAAATCACAGTACTGATATGTATTTAATATGTGCGTATGGTCATGTTGCTAGAAGACAAATAATCTGATCTCCTTCCCAAAGATGCAAAATCTAAACAAAATGGCACCTGCAACATAGCTGCATTTGTAAACAGGGTTATTTACAGTTCAAGAGCAATCCAGATGTCAACATCTGACAACAGCTGTAGAAAAAAATCTTAACGAGACCAATTCCACTGTGCAATAAATAAAGCAAGGTAGAAAGGTTTTTTTAGACTGGATTGTCTTTTTACTTTTTTTGTTGTGTCACAAAAAGTTCTACTTTTGACTTTTTTTTTTTTTTTTTTAAAGAACAGCTAAACTCTGAGCATAAATGTCACCAGCTGACAACAATTACAGCCAAGTATGGGTTCATTTTTCAAGTTCAGGAGCTAAAACACTCATCAAACCAACAAAAAATAAAGTTCATGAGGGGTTAGACATACACAGCATGACAAACTCCATCAGCACTCGTGCGTCACAATTCAACTTTGCACACTAATACACAGAGCAGATGCATTTGTATTCAAGCAGATTATGAAGGTAACAGAGATTATGTACTGCTGAGTGCTTTTTAGTGTGTACAGTTCAGATTGGAAGCATTTCTGAAAACTAGCAGCTGAAAAAGTTATTGCAAACTAGATGCTTTAATTCAGAATGAGTCTGATTAGGTTCAAGTTCTTGAATTCATATGACTAAGACAAACTGACTCCTTTAATCATGGAAAATTAGAAAATTAAGATTAGCTACAATTAAACTATTGTTACATAAATCTGCTGATTGTTAGTGAGAACTAAATTAAACAAAAAATGCTTCAAAAACAATCATATAATTTAATAACTATAAACAGCAAACCACAGATCTGTGGTTTGACAGTAAAATACAACTATAACATGTCCACATGTAAAAGAACAAAAATGAAGATTTAGAAAAAGTAACTTGCACTTATGTAACATTTTGTTCATATCCTGATAAAGCATGCAACACTTTTGCCTTTTCAATTCTGTTTTAATACTTCACAAACAAAGCAACAAGCTGCAACAAATGACCCTGCTTTTAGTCCTGAACCGTTAAAAGAACAGGACTCAATGTTAGAAAACAAATCAGGAGCACAAGTATGAAATTACAGTGTTGCTCTGATCCAACCAACATGCAACTGCCTTGATTAATGGTTAACTTACAAGTAATTCATCTTGTTGCAAGTCTAAAGGAACAGAAGGAGCTGCTACGTTTGTTACGAGGCTAAACGTGCACCGACTCACATCTTGTCCCAGTGGTGTGTGCACCTTGTCAGAGAGGAAATCGGCCTCTTTTAGACATCTCACACTCTTAGTTTACATTCTTGTGCACGCTTGACATGGAGCTGATGTTCAGGAGATCGGCCACACCCCCTCCTCCTCCCGTAGCTGTGGCCCTGAGCCTGGGAACACTCAAACACCAGGCAGGAAGTACCTCAGCAATCATCTAGATCAGCGTTTCCTTCAACAATTTTGTATCACTGCTGTATGCTGCTGAACAAAGTGAAGTGTTCAGCCTAATAGTAGTCAGTACGATTCCCCGGTGCACTTGTGTTATAGTACTTGGCACATTAATGTTAAGTCAGTCCAGACAGCAGCTGTAATAATAACTCATTCAAAACACATCTGCTATACTTCTGCTTTAGCAGGTCCAGATGTTGTCAGCAATTTAATATAAGATGAATTAAAATCTCAGTATCCCATTAGTTAATGAACTTCACCATCCTTCGACAAGAAGGAACTAAGTTATAGCTGTTTGGTCAAACCTTATACGGTAAATGATGTTACGCACAATCTCATGCAAGACGTGTTTGCTTTCAGAATGTGTTGCGGATGACCCTCAGCGACACCAAACATTAACTAAATATTTGTAAAACTGACCACGTTGTAGCCATGTTTGTAGTTTCTAATGTTGATTAGCTGTGGTGGCCAGCTTGGATGGGGTTGTAGATGTGCATTTAATGATTACTTTCTGAGAGTTTCAATAAAATCTGTTCAGTGGTTCATATTTTGCCAACAACAGATTAACGAACACACGCGGTCAAAACATTATGGCCCTTTTGCTTTTTGCACTTGATTATTGAACTTAAAACTAAGTTGTCTTCACACCAACTCAGCAATAATGCGCATTATTTTAATTAAAATGAGAGGCTAAAAAATGGGGACAAACAAAGCAGGCAACTCTCCAAAATAAGCAGCAGACCAGGTCAGACAGCCATCATCCCGACGGATGCCTTTAGAAACGCTCAGTTTCAAAATCTGGAAATAGCTCAGTGGGTGGCATTAATGTGGCGGCGTGGGGATTATGGAGAAGCGAACAGTGTGTAATCTAGTACTTACAGTTTAATTATGTGAGGGTGCCTGAAAAGCTTCAGGTTCTGGATCTCCCGGCGAATTTTTCCCACCACGTCCAAGCTGCGGATCTTCTGCCGGTTCAAGATCTTCACTGCCACTTGGTGCTTGGTGAGTTCATGCTGGCCCACTGCAGGACGAAGCGATGAAAGCATTAATGATACAAAACAAACAAAGTCACGAAGAGCGAGCAAACAAAGCTTTGAACTGTCATTTTTAGATTTATACTCTCATGTTAGCTGCATGTGGTGGGCAGTGAACAACAACTATGTTTATAAATTAGTCATGTCACTATCAGCCTGTCAAGTTAAAGTCCAAAGTTCACATTCCTTTTAGCTTTTTTTTCCAGAGCTCTACAACAAATCCAGAGGGAAACATCAGCATGCCGTGTGGTGAAAGAGGGCCTTCAGCGTGGCTTTTAGCCCAAATCAGATGCCAAATACATTCAGAACCAATAAAAGCACACATTAAAGCACATTTAGCTGTTACTTTTCTAAAGAGAGCTCCAGAATGTCTTCACATTTATCCAAAACAAAGACGGGGACAGGGGAAAAGGTATGCAAACAAAACAAAGTCATGTTTGAACAAGGCTCAACCCTATCTTTAGAAATACTTCCTTCAATAAAGTTGTATTATGTGGAAAACAGTACGCTTCCACTTGGGAGGTATTAAGCAGCAGCAGTGGGTTTTATCAGCACAGATGGTGAAATATTGAATCTGCAGCACTCACAACCATTATGAAAGGGCACCACCTCCAATGAACTGAGGCTGTTTTTTCCCTTCAACAACAAATAGCACGAGTGCAGGAGACAGATGAGTCACTGGAAAATGAGTGTAAACACAACCAGTGGTTCAAATGGGAGCTAGCTTAGGCACAAAATCATGTTTCCACGAGGAAAAAAGTTTAAAATAATACAAAAGTACTCAGCCAAACAAAAATGTGCTTTTAACCCCTAGAGTTTGTCCAAACTCAGTTCAAAGTAACACACTTGAAAGCCAAAACACCCCCTCGACCTTATTACAGAAGCTGAGGGAAACTTTATCCTTAATTAGCACAGAAAACAGAGAGAAACTAGCGCCAAAACCAGTCAGGAAAGTTCATCTCCAAGTGTTTCTGTCTGGACAGACTTGTAGCTCACACAGGCCAGTTAACAGACAGTGCCGATAATGCTAACTAGTATTATTAACATACTTTAATTAAAAAAAAAAACAAGTATTACCAGGTGCACCGTGTTGTGCAGCTAAATAGGTCTGTCGAGTTTCGTTATTTAGAAATAAATTAAATAAATAGCATGACAACATGTGTTGTTCCTGCCTCGGCGACAATTCAGGAGAGGCTAAGTTAGCTGCTAAGCTAAAAAGCGCCACCATGTTTCAGCTGGCAGGATGTACCGACAGTCCGGCGTACCTTTAACCTTTCCGAACGTCCCTACTCCGAGCGTGTCCCCGAGAATGTAATGTCCAATTTTAACTCTTCCTTCGTGTTTCTGTTTATCCGTCGCCATCTTCCCGCAGCCGCGTTTCTCTGCGGGCTTCAGCTAGCTGCAGGCGGAAACGGAGAGAACTCAGCCTGCGTGTGCGCGTCTCTCTAGCGGCTGTCTAGCGGCTCCGCTCCGTACGGAGAGTGGAACGCGCCCCGGCTTGTGCGTGATTCGTCAAAAGCGTGGTAGACGTAAAAACGTTACCTTCATGGCACGCAGAGAGCTCGGAAATATTTGAAGCAATCGTGAAAGTCACTTTCTTAACAATGTATTTCTTTAACTGGCATTATCGATTAAAGTGAGTAACTTTGTTTTGCAATGTATTTTTTATAGTACAAATTCTCAAGTGTTTCGCTCTAGTAGTATATTTCCAGACATTGCCGTCAATAAACTGAGAGTTTACCATTATCTGACCTGAGTGTCTTATTTCCGTGTTTTACCCAACGCCACACTGTGAACATGGAGACATAGGCTGTTGTTAAACTTGTGGAATGTATTCATTTATTTATACATAACTTACATAACTTGAAGTGGGTGCACGTAAATAATTTTATTGTTACATCTAAATTTGATTATTAACATAAAGTTGTCAGTTCTTGAAATATATATGAAATACTATTTTGGACAAGCTTCATCAAGTCATCAATTCTATTGTTCTAATTACATGTCCCTGTTTGTTTTAGGTGATATTCTTGTTGAACACGTCAAATATAACATTTAAGTTATTATGTAAGTTCAAAAGAATAAGCACTTCTCATTCAAACAAATCTAATTTAGCTTTCTGTTGATCTAAAAACAAAACAAAACAAAAAAAAAGCTAGGTCACACACTGATGGCAAATGTGTGAGAAAGCAGTGCATTGTTTTTATTTGTTTATTTTTGTTTACATTGTTTGTATGTGTGCTGTTTGACAGATGAACCACAGCTCTGTGTCAGAGCTCCAACACAAAAGTTGATCTATAATCCACACCATTCAGACTTCACTCATTTACCACAAAGAAAATGCAAACACTAAAAAACACAAAAAGAATCACAGCTGAATCCATCCATCCATTATCTTTACCTGCTTTGACCCATTTTGGGTCACGGGTTTGCCAGTGCCCATATCCAGCAATCACTGTGCGGGTGGCGGGGGGCACCCTGGACAGGTCTCCAGTCCATCACAGGGACACATAGAGACAAATGAGACAAACAACCATTCACTCTTTCACATAAATAGGGACAATTTTGAGTTACAAATCAGCCTAACATGCATGTTTTTGGTCTGTGGGTGGAAAGCGGAGTACCCAGAGAAATCCCACACATGCATGAAGAGAGCATGCATGCGCATCCAGAAGGGCTCCTGGACTGGGATTTGAACTTTGAACCGGCAACCTTCTCGCTGAGAGGCAGCAGCTCTACCGGTTGTGCCACTGTGCTGCCCGCAGCTGTATCCATAAATCATATTTACAATGGCTGCTGTGTTGACTGTGGTAAGTAATTTTTAACTTAAATTTCATGTCTGACCTTTTACCCTGATCATTATTATAATGCCAAAGTTGGAAAGCCTAAAAAAATACAAATATTAAGAAAGGCTGAGCAGAAAATTTAGAGGAAAAACATTTGTAAAGCAGTCAAATATAAAATAAATGAAATAAATCCTATTTGCTTTTAAGATAAAAGTGATTTTGTTGCAGTATTTTACATGTTAACATTGATGTTTGGATGTGTTTCAAAGATTTTATGTATATTTAATGTATAATATGTAATATATTATATTTAGAATATATTTTTAGAGGGTGCAGGGAGAATGTGTGAAAAACTGTACCACATCAAACAAGTATGACTTCATGTTTCTCAATTATGTCTTAAATCATTAGATTTTAAACATACTCAGTGGATATGTTTATTTAATTATTTTTACTAATTCATGCATTTATATTTTATTACACACCTGTCCTAAGACAGGATGTATTGTGGTAGGCGCCACCCATCCGTCTGTCTGTGAACAATTACTTGTTTAAATGAATAAACCTTTCACATGGAAATGTCAAACTGCAGCTGGACACCTCATGAGTCAAGAAAGATCCCTAGAGATTTCATAGTCACAGAGGTCAAAGGTCACATGCAACCCTTTTGTTAAAACCTTGTTTATTCCCCAGTTTGACGTCCAAGTAACATAAACACGTCAAATCCTTTGTCCCCTATTTGCATATCCATTAAGCAGGACACAGGAAGTTGTCCTTGTAGCGCCACAAATGTTTAGGATTGAAGATGTCATTAGACTATGACTCCACTTTGGATTTTATTTTTAAGACCACTTCCACTGATGAAATCTTGAGC